TGTAAAGCAACATGTACTCTCACTGTAAAGCTATATGTACTCCATGCATTAACTCATTTATTCCAACAGTTAGAAAGAAACAATTTACCATAATGATTTAGATACTTGTCAACATACAAAAAAAGCTTGTTTTATTAATTACCAAATGACTGTCATTTTTATTTAGCCTTTACTACACTGGGTAGCCTTGTCCATTGGTTATTATAACACTTTAAATGTGCTGAAAACCAGTGAGTGATATGACAATGGATGGGTGATCAGATCCCAAGAGCACCTGCAGCAATTGGTTGACCGACGGGGTGAAAAGACAGTTCCTTCTAATAAAAAATGAATAGCAGGTAATAAGCCACAGAAATTGTAAAAATGTCAAGCATGTTTCGATAATTAATCTTGTCAAATGAACAACAGAGTTCGGCTTTGATAAATATTCTGCTTAAAGGGATACTCCACCCCAAAATGAAAATTTTGTCATTAATCACTTACGCCCATGTCGTTCCAAACCCGTAAACGCTTCATTTGTCTCCGGAACACAATTTAAGATATTTTGGATGAAAACCGGGAGGCTTGTGACTGTCCCATTGACTGCCAAGTAAATTACACTGTCAAGGTCCAGAAAAGTATGAAAGACACCGTCAGAATAGTCCATCTGCCATCAGTGGTTCAACCGTAACGTTATGAAGCGACGAGAATACTTTTTGTACGCGAAGAAATCAAAAATAACAACATTATTCAACAATTTGTCTCCTCTGTGTCTCTCTGCATCACCGTAGCGTCATTTTGGAGAATATCCGCTGAACGCAAGCAGCGTACACTCTTCTGTGTCAGCCGCGACACAAGGAAACGTTTTCTGTGTGTATTTACGCTTTGATTTGAACAAAAACAGTGCATCTGTGTAGCGCGGCTGACACAGAAGAGCATACGCTGCTTGCGTTCAGCGGATATTCTCCAAAATGGCGCTACTGTGACACAGAAGAGACGAATTGTTGAATAAAGTCGTTATTTTTGTTTTCTTCGCGTACAAAAAGTATTCTCGTCGCTTCATTAAATTGAGATTGAACCACTGATGGCAGATGGACTATTCTGACGGTGTCTTTCATACTTTTCTGGACCTTGACAGTGTAATTTACTTGGCAGCCAATGGGACAGTCACAAGCCTCCCGGTTTTCATCCAAAATATCTTAAATACGAACGAACGAAGCTTTTACGGGTTTGGAACGACATGGGGGTAAGTGATTAATGACAAAATTTTCATTTTGGGGTGGAGTAACCCTTTAAATTCCCACACATGTAGGTCACTTCAGTACACTTACAGATATTTTGCTTAGAACTGTTTTCCAAAGTTGATGATTCTGCTTTTTATTGTTCTAGAACAGCAGTAGACAATAATTAAAGTAACAATTTATAATTGTACAAAACAGCAGGAACCAGCCATTAAACACAGACTTATGAACTCTGATTTGTTTTTTCCTCTTTACCAATTTGTTTTAAATAAAAATATTTTTAAAAAACTATTATAGTCAACTGTTCAAATTCTAAGCAAACTACATTACTTTCCAAGTTAACAGCATGACAAATAACACTGAGGATTCACAAAGGTGTTTGCTAAAATAAGTAACAACTCTACAGGAAACCCCTTCAGACAATTTTTATTCATTTCTGTCACGAATCATGGAAAGTAATGAATTGCCAACTTTATAAACAAAACACCAATTACAACTTTATAAACAAAACACCAATTACAACTATTACAAAAATAATAAATGAGTCTCACCTCAAATATAATAATTATTAGAGACCAATCAGCTACAGTATTAGAATATGAGCAGCAGGGAAAAATGTACTGAGCCCATTTGGAAGAGCAGAGTGTGAGGAAATGAAGTGAGGAACACAGTGTGCACTCTACAGCCAGTGCAAGTCTCCTTCCTCTGCTACACAAAGGTGCTGTCGGGCACTTTAAAGGTTACTTTCTCAAGTGTTAAGCAAATGAAATACCGTTTAGCAACTAATACACAAAGCCTCTTGTCAGATCCTCTTCAAAGAGCCATGTCCTTTGACCAACTTGCCGGCCTTGTTTTTTTTTTTCTTTTTTCGGACAAGCACCTGGTATGAGGGGACAACTAGACAAAACAGACACTTGAGATGAACGCTGAAGGGAAAGAGGGGGAAGGGGGAGGAGGATCTTGAATTCAGTCTACCTTGGAGCTCACCGGCACAATGATACATGTTTGACAGCTACTTCAACATGTTCATTCAATTTACAGCTCTGGCTAGACAGAATGCCTCTTGCTTGCAATTAGGTATAACCGGCTTTGTTTTTTTTTTTTCTTTTTTCGGACAAGCACCTGGTATGAGGGGACAACTAGACAAAACAGACACTTGAGATGAACGCTGAAGGGAAAGAGGGGGAAGGGGGAGGAGGATCTTGAATTCAGTCTACCTTGGAGCTCACCGGCACAATGATACATGTTTGACAGCTACTTCAACATGTTCATTCAATTTACAGCTCTGGCTAGACAGAATGCCTCTTGCTTGCAATTAGGTATAATTTCACTGCTGTTTGCATTTCTTTTCGTATGCAGGACGGTTTGCAAAAACATTTCAATATACATGCAAATATAGCACTTTCAATAAATGACTGTGTGTAATTTCTACATTAGTAGGAGCAGCAATCGAAATAGCAAAATAATGACATAATCAAACAGGTTTTCTGAACACTATCCCCCATCTGACACCAGACTCCATGCTAAACTCACACCATTGGTTGAGCCACTGTTGCGGTGTTGGGCTGATCAGGATGCTCAAACAAACAAGGCAATGTTTCATAGCACCACAGAGCCATACTGATTGCGCTTTTTAGGGAAATACAAAAGAATTTATAAATGTCTCTTCATTTTAAATGATAATAGGAGAAATTGTGCACCAAAAATGTGCCTCATAAAGGGGTTTCACAAGCAGCTATAAGGTCCTCTTGCAGTTCATTCAGAAAGCTCTGGGTATATGAGCTTGTGCACGGCTCAAACATTCCGTGTGAAGCTCTGTGTCACTGGCCAGCCATGCAGGCTTTCTTGTGGCCCAGCATGCTTAATCAAACTGTAATTACTAACAAAAGCAAGTCAGCGCAGGCACCAGAGGGAGAAAGCACCCAGACTCCACCACAATCACGCAGGACCTTAATTACCGTCATTTGCAATGCCACACATTTGACTGCACTGCAAAGTGGCACATTTGCAAGCCCTTTACTAGAGCTCAAGATTTTCTTTATTTTTCTCCTTTTCAAAATTATATGTTCGAAAATAATTCAAGAATGCTATTATAAATTCATTTTCTAAGCCACTTGAAATCATAGAATAATTAGTTTCAAAACAACTTATGCACATCCATAATAAAAAAATTATCAAAGCTGTAACTGACATAATTGAAATTAGGGATGCACCAATACCACTTTTTCCAGTACTCGCAGGAGACCAGTATCGGGCCCGATACCGATACCAGTATCGGTATCGGTGCATCCCTAATTGAAATCATATCATTCATAAAAAAACTGAGACTTGATTTTGCAAATAAAAAAAATAAAATAAAAAAAATTGTAGTGCATGCAGTTACTCAAACACTTTTAAAATTCCATTTTGTGGCCATACAATGCACCATCCAATTTGATTTGAGATATAACCAAAACCTGAAAGCTTTTTTTTTTTAAACCAAACACTTACTAAAACTGTCTGTGCTGAATTCAATGCTCTTTGTGATGCTTTCATCCTTCCACATTCTTCCTGGTCAACACATCTCCATGTTTCAGTGGTAATTTACAGGCTAAGCCATGAAAATCAGAGATCCAAAGAAATGTCTTGTAGAATTTATTCAGGGTCAAATAGAAAAACACATCCAGGTGACCCAAAATAAATTCTACAAGACATTCTGAGATGTCAAGACCACTGAGTACATGCACATCACCTTCTCAAAGCAGTTCTGCAGAAATATCCCTAACTTGTTTAGACAATACTGTAGTCATATACTTTACATATGATCTACATGCCATAAATATTCACAAGTTAAATAGTTTTTTTCCCTGCAATCTTGTGTAAGAGTTACATTACCACTACTGCAAACTGTCTGATTACATCTACAACAAACATGAAAAACTCATAAGAAGGCTCTCTAAAATGTCTTGAATAAGACAGGTAGTCCTTGCCACATATCTCGCTCAATGGGCACTGCTCTCCTGAGAACAACAATGAAAGCTCTGTGGCCAATTATAAAAGGACAGGCGCCGTCTTCCTGCGAGTCTGCTACTGTCAGACTGTTTTTTCCCCCCTTTTTCTTTCAATCCCCTCTTTTTGGGAGCCCTTTTGCAGCTTTACTTTAGAGTGGCCCCTACTATTAAATGAGAATCCTCAACCAGGCGGGGTGTACTTGCCCGCTCAGACACAATCAGAGATAGTCTGAGTCCACCCAAACACCCCACTCTGCCAAACCCGGCCCACACATTCAAGCCAGCTGAGTGTCTGAAGTCTCATAGGTAAACAAGGTCATTATTATCTCACAAGGACATTGGGAAAAGAAAAAAAAAGATTAGATTTCATTTCAGTATGGATTTTATGAAGGTCATTTTTTGAGAATATTTTGAACTGTACAAAGCATGCTATCATTCATTAAAATACATATGTGTAATATATATATTAAATTGTTTATAATATTAAAATATACATTAAATATATATGCATTAAAACACTAAAAATATTTACATACCAAAAGACCTATGCCTTTTTGATTTCCAATCAGTTTTTAATATTTTTAACTTATATAAATATATATATATATATATATATTAATATTAAAATAATTTAATAATAAAATATACTAAAAAAAAGATATTTATATTTGGTTTCCAACCAGTGATGAAGAATTTTAACTTTTACATAATTACAAAAGCATATAAGAATCGTGACCCAGTACAAACAGTTCAAAAACAGCCCAAAGAAAAGCACAGCCAATGTTTATACCAGTTTCTCATCCACAGTGATGAGCTGGGATCCCTGTCCCTGTTGTTCTGCCAGCCTCCATCCTGACGTGCATATTGACCTGCAAAATAGGAAGATTAATTTTTAAAAATAATAGAGAGAAGCAGACACACACAAAACAAACTGTAGTTAGGTACAAACAACGGCACAGTAAAGTGTTTTGAAGGAGGGGGGTGTGTGTCAAGAGACAGGAGAGAGGAAGCCACACAGCTCTCTCCTCGGCCCTCATTAATTCTGCCTGCTGAGTTTCTGGCAGACTTCTATAAGCCAGTTAGAAACAAACAGCCATTGGTGTCGTCCTGCCAGTCTACAGTCACAGCCTTTGAAATGAAACAGTAACTGGTCTGTCATAAATAAACAATAATTCTGAATGGCTAGCGACAGAGGCGCTCACTGATCTCTCATTTGGATTTTAAGTGAATGAAACATGGCCGGCAGGTCAGGAAATGTAAAGCTGCTTTCAAATTTGTGACCCTCTCTGTGGAATCCAGGCTGAAGTCTCAAAATCTAATTACGAGATAACAAGCATCAAAGTTTGATTTCAACCAGTAATTTCACCATGATTTCAATCTTTGACATGGTCTTACTCGGTCAATATTAAAGATATCAAGATTACATTTTCACAGAATGTTCTTTACCGTATGAAGGATGATTTTATGTAGAAAACAGTAAATCAAAAAAAAAAAAGCTGGGTTTTCACAGCCAGGGTCACATTTGGATTCGAATCACTGACTCTTTGACAGGAGACCACAAACCTCCTGTCAAATTGAATATTCATTAAACACAAGCAGAGTGAACTTCTGTGTTAAATTGTTTAGAATTATGTTCCCATATAAACTGGTGCATTGAATGAATGCAACGATTTACAGAAGAATCATTTTGAAAATTATTTAAACAGAAATCAGCTCTGCTTTTGTTTCATGAATAAGATCCAATGTGTTATGCAACCAAAAGAGTTATGTTTAGAACCTAAATTTTATGAATGTTAAAAAAAAAAAATTCTGAAAAAATTTTTTTTCATTCAATTTGCAAAATAAGAAAGACAAAGGAAGATGCTGGATAAAAGAAGAGTCTGTGTGCATTTTAACATACTGTAAACACCTGACAGATTTCAGCATTGTGCATACAAAATATATATGATATATTTTGACATTTTATTGATAGGGGTCACACTCAAACCCATATTTCCCATAAGCATGACTTCTACTTCCACAGATCAAAACTTCACCACTACCTTCACAACACAGCATTACAAATACTCTTAAAAACGTAATATTATTTTGATCATAATTATTCCTGAAAAAGAACTGACATGCAATGTCTTGTGCAGAACCTACATCTTCTGACAAGATTTTATTTGTTTTATGTTAATGCATACTATCAGTTAGAGTCAGCACCGAGCCTGCTGGCTCCTGATCTGATATCTAGCCAGAAGAAAGACGATTTAAGATGAGAACAATCTTGATTACATCAAAAAATCATATTAGAATTATTACAGTAGAAAAGCTCAAGTCTAAAGTTAATCGGGACTAGAGGACAGTAGCACCATTTCCAACATGCACAGACTACATAGCTGGTCAATAAAAGATCTTGCAAGGTGATATGAGCATTATCTTGCAAATTTCAGAACTTCTATATTAGTATATATTAGTACTATAATATTACTATATTATATAGTAAGTAATAGGTAATAATCCAAAGGTTAACCTCTACTAGATTCAGTTTACAGTAACACAATGAAGAGTCTGTATTTTCGTTTATACGGAAGGTCAATGGGCTAACCTTCACACAAACCGCTAACGTATACTGTTACAATCACAGTGACTTCTGAAAATATATAAACCAACACACCTGCTCAGAAAAATTAGAACGGTATTTATCACTAAAATGTGTCAGTTTCATTTCTATCTGTTACAAATGACTAACAACACGTTACACACGTAACAACCTTTTACATTTAAAGGCGGGACAATACTATCTGTTAGTGTTCGTCACACGGACATCTTTAAGAGAGAATTAAGAGATGACACTCTGGCTATGTCGGGTTAGCTAACCAGCTAACAGTGTAACTCTAAACAGATAAACAAACAAACAGAGCATTGTTTCTTTGCACGTATATATACAAACACAAAACAATTATTTGAATTACTGCTTTTTACCTGGCAGGATTCACAAATATTTTTGTGACAGAGTTAAGAGAGATAATTCGGCTTAAACTAACGAATGACATTGAAGACGCCATGTTGACATGGTCTGTGCGCTGTACGGCAACACACAGCGTCCAAACTCAAGCGATGCGTATTTCTTCTCTTCATGAAGGGAGAGTACAAACTTTTGAGTTAAAAGTGTCTGAAATTCTTAGTGAACTACAAGTGAAAATTACAGCATCTCTAGAGGTGTCTGTTTCTGATACAGAGCTAACGACTCTTTATAACGCCTGAATTTGATTTCGCGCTGTTTTGTGTGGTTGCATCATTTGCCCTAGTTAAGGAATTTTGGCTCACCCAAAGCATCGAATGAAGCATAATTAGTACGAACGGGTGATAACTTGTATATAAGTAAATTTTCCCCATAATTTAATTCATTACATCGGTTTTAACAATTGCATGCGTTTTTAACATATGGTTGAATCACCAAATGGTGATTTTTTTTTAGTTAACGTGACACCTGGTGTCTAGTGACTGATAATTATGAGAGCAAATAACATTTCTGTTGTACAGAAATGTCATAGAAAAGCAGTTTATTTAAACAAATTATTGAAAAAAGAATGGAAGCAGTCTACTATTTTGAATGACTACTATATTGTAATCAGTAGGCCTCACATTAAAATTCTAAAAACATGCAGCTTAATGTACGAATGTGAAGCATGTCATATAAAGCAAAATATGCATAAAATAACCTTCATGCTTTCTCTTTTACATTTAACTTTATTTCCTCCAAATATCTAGCCACTATATGCCAATAATAGGGAAAAAAGGCTCTATAAAAGGAGAAGAAGAAAAAAGCAAGCATCCATGGCATGTCCCTTAATTTGAGTTCAGGTCTATGAACTTCAAAGGCTCTCTCTAGATGGGTCGATTTCCTCCTCAGTTCACAGGACTGGACTGAAGCAAGACAGCCCTCTCTTGGGACTTCAGGCATGCCACAACATAACACACTCATTTTCCGCTATTTATCAGTTCCTGGATCGTTCTTTTACTTCTGCATTTCACCATTCATTGTCATTAGGTTATATATGCGTCGCCAGTAAAGGGACCGGGAATCTTCTCTAAGCATGAGATCAAAGTACCTATTGATAAGTGAAAGAATTGAAAGGTCCAAAGACCATCCCCACACTTCAGTGCTGGAATCTCCATTTTGCTTTAATGAGGCCCATTCATCTACCGCCACAGAGATGGTGTGAGTGAGGTGGTCCTGTCTGGGACATAAACACATTTATTTCCAAATCAGCAAGGAGTGTTTTTGTTTCTGCCAGCTTAAAGTTGTAAAATGATGTGAATGATGTTCACCTTATCTGAAAATATATTTTGGCATTTAGATTGTCTTTCAATCTATAATAATTTTTTTTGTATCTTTCATCAAAAGATATCAAAATGTCAACGCTGTGCATACTTTATATTATATAAAGATCATAATACTTATTTATAAAAGGCAATATGAGAAAACCCAACCTGTGCCGAAATACTAGTAAACACAATTGATAAGTAACACATTGTCTCTCAAAGAGTTAATCTATGGGAAAGCAAAAGGAGAAAAACAGAGTGGCTTTACTTTTCTCCATTTCCCTCCCTCTCTCACTCTCCTGTCCCGTTTGAAGGAGATGCGAGTTGGCAGCACAGGAGAAGCTTGAAGATTAATGGTGTAAAGGGGGGCTCTGACAGCCTTTCCGCTGGTTGCAGTTCTCCTGGGTGGCCCGATTGGTCTTGGATGTCACTTTTGCTACTTAATCTTGTGTATGTGAAACAGCCTGACATGCCTGAAGAACTCAGTCTGTCCACGTCTGTATAGACATCAACCTGTGACACGGTTTTAAGGTATCTTTAATAGGATGTCCTTTGCCACAGCTCTAATATTTAGTCAAAAAGTTGTTAGAACTTTGTTGATAGGATTCAAGACACCATTTATTTGATCAGTAAAAACAGTAATATTGTAAAATATATTACAATAATAAAAAAAAAAACTCTTCTATTCTACGAATTTTCAGCATCATTACTCCAGTCTTCAGTGTCACATGATCCTTCAGAAATCATTCTAATATGCTTGTCTTCTTATTTTCATCAATGTTGAAATAGTTGTGCTACTTAATATTTCTGTGGAAACCGTGATAATGTTTTCAGAATTCTTGGATTAATAGAAAACTCAAAATAACAGCATTTATTTGAAATATTTTCGGTATTTCGATTTTTGGTAACAATGTAAGTCTTTACTGCCACTTTTGATCAATTTAATGCATCCTTGCTGAATAAAAGTATGAATTTCTTTACAAAAAAAATGTGAACATAGCATATGTAACAACTGAAGCACAGATTGTTAACCAGTTGGGTTTGGTAATAGTGAGAAGGGATTCCCAGACAGATTACTGAGCTGAGAAGCTCAATTCTCTGGAGAATAGTCTGCCAGCCTGACGTCCTGTGGCTGCAGGGTAAATCCTAAAAAAACAATGAGCTAGGATTGTTATAAACAGTCTCCTTGTTTTGAAGATCTAAAACTCAAGACAGTCAGTTGTATTTGAGGCTGTAATCAATAGCCTATTTGTATATACTTCTCCCCAAATATGCAAACAAATAGTCTATACTTTTTGTTATACTTTTTCTGAATTGATCTCAAATTTATTGGCCAACTTTCTATTTCAGAAAAAAAAAAATCACTTTCTTAGAGACGTGGGAATAAATGTGTCTGCTGTTAATCTATTAGACGTCTTTTCCCGTGCCTTCAATTAGTATTTTAGGCATCAGCAGAGTGGATGTGAACTGGTTTCTTGTGTGACCTTTGTGACTTTTAACCTTAATCCTCTCTCCCCTTAAAACCCACTTTTTCTGTCACCCTGAGCGTTTTCTCATTATCAATCCCCTCGTTCGCCTTCAAAGCGACAGTAGGTTCACTGTATTTTCCCTCTCATCTCTTTACCTACTTTTATTTTCTGACACATGCTGTGGGTCCTTCATGTTCTGAGAAAGTCCACTTCCTTTCTACTAAGACGTCATTGCAAAACTTGACTTGTTATACACCTAATATACTTTGAACGTCGTCGTCATAGTCTCAGTTTAATTTGTAAAGCCCAGGTGTCTCGCGTCCTGGGAAACTATGTTTGTGATGAAGAAGTTGCTCTTTTTTTTTTTTAAACCTCATGTTTCATGTGTATCTCTGAGTTGTAAGCTGCCCACATAGTGTCGTAAGTGAAGCTGCGGCCTGGTATAAACTGTTTGGATAAAATGAAATAATCCACCTACAGGGCTTGCCGGAGAGCTCTAGAGGAAATCAAATAGATCGTTTTAAATAAAGTAATCAAATATTTACAAGACGATAACGATTAATTGAGTGTCCCATGGTATGATTCACATTCGGTGCTTCATTGAATGGGGATTATTTGCGGTCTCTTCAAAGGAATCCATGTCACTGGAGGTCTCATGCCATGTTAAATGGTTCCACATGGGATGATATTTGGTTTAACTATTAAGTAATGTGAGAAATAATTACTTAAACACACATTATAAGAAGATAAATAAACTGCTTGGTGTGTCTGTAGTAAGTGGACAGAGGAAAGCTTTTACTGAATTTTGTAAAAGAAAATTTTTCTTAGAACAAATATGCTACCATTCATAATTTGGGGTTGGTAAGAATTTTGATACGTTTTTTTTAATATATATTTTTTTGATATCTTTAATATTGTGAATAATATTACTACAATTTAAAATAATTATTTTCTATTTTTCTGTGATGGCAAAGCTGAACTTTTAGCAGTCATTACTCTAGTCCTCAGTGTCACATTATTGTTCAGAAATTATTCTCAAGAAACAAAATAACATGATAATTGTACTGACTGTCACTTTTTAACAATTTAATGAATCCTTGCTGAATAAAATAATTTCTTTCCAAAAAAAGTACTGACACCAAACTTTTGAATGCCACTTACAATGAATGGGGTACAAAATAAAACCTGTTTTTTTTTTTTTATCAACCTGCCAACTCTAGGAGGTCAAACTACATTTGATATTCTTTTTTATTTTAATGAGGTTTGCCACTTTTTGCAAGCCTGTAGCCAAAATCTCTAAATATAAGTAAAACATCTTCATTAAACATTAAATCAGTATAGTCAGCAAAATGTACACAATAATATATATACAAATTATATATATAAAAAATAAATATAACACAACATTTATCTTCGCCATCATACTTAAAAAAATATCTAATAATCTTTTTTTTTGTGTATCACATTTTTAAGAAATGTAAAAAAAATGTTTTCATGTGGTAAGATCATTGTACACAAAATGTGTGGCATGGCTAAATATCATGTCACAATGATGCTATTGCTGTATGATTTTAATTGTTAGATACAGCCAAAAGGGTCCAGACCTCTGAAGTGAGGCATGTTACATAATTTCATATCTTAAAACAACAAAAAAGAGACACTAAAGTTTATTCATGGAATGTGCCATACCTAGACATCTAAAAACCTCCAAGAGCTGCTCATAAATCTTCATAAAAGTGCAGCCTCAAGCTCATCATCTTCTCAAGGACTCCGGGACCTGTGTTTCACGAACAATTGCAACGCTGCGTCTAGATGTCTAAATCTTCCTCTCAGTATATCTGAAGGGGGAGTTAGTCCAAAGTGAAACATCTTCATTAAACATTAAATCAGTATAGTCAGCAAAATGTACACAATAATATATATACAAATTATATATATAAAAAATAAATATAACACAACATTTATCTTCGCCATCATACTTAAAAAAATATCTAATAATCTTTTTTTTTGTGTATCACATTTTTAAGAAATGTAAAAAAAATGTTTTCATGTGGTAAGATCATTGTACACAAAATGTGTGGCATGGCTAAATATCATGTCACAATGATGCTATTGCTGTATGATTTTAATTGTTAGATACAGCCAAAAGGGTCCAGACCTCTGAAGTGAGGCATGTTACATAATTTAATATCTTAAAACAAAAAAAAGAGACACTAAAGTTTATTCATGGAATGTGCCATACCTAGACATCTAAAAACATCCAAGAGCTGCTCATAAATCTTCATAAAAGTGCAGCCTCAAGCTCATCATCTTCTCAAGGACTCCGGGACCTGTGTTTCACGAACAATTGCAACGCTGCGTCTAGATGTCTAAATCTTCCTCTCAGTATATCTGAAGGGGGAGTTAGTCCAAAGTGAGGTCAGTTGGACACATTGGATTGTCTTTTCCATTCATGAGAGGAACACAATGGCTGAAATGACCACCACTGGATGACCTTTTCAACAGACCTCATGCCCTCGTTTGATTGACATTTCTCTTTGACGGCAGGGGGCGGAGACGGCTTTTGGTGGGCAATGGGGAGGGCAGATTCTCCTGGGTAAATCCTCATCCACATCTCTTCGTTTGGACAACAAAGAGTGTGATGTTTTTGTCTGAAATAAGGAGCCAGATCCCTTGTGTTTTGATGAGTGGGCCACCTGGGACACACATCTCCATCATCGCGTCAAAAGATGAGAGAGAAAAAAGATGGAAAGAGAGGAGACGAGAGGAGGATGGAGGAGAAAGAAAACCTCCACAAACAGAAGCTTGAATGACAAGCTCAATGGAGACTGTTCAGCCAAGTGACCAAACCTCTTGTCTGTGTCATTAGTCCGTCTCGTGCAAACCGACCAAAAAGAGCAGCTCACAGACACTCCAGTGACGCAAGCAAGTGGAGTTATCCTTTCAACTTCTATTCAGAGTTATAACAAAACATGCCAGAAGAAGGTTCCGAATTTACTGTCATCTTAACAAGCCCACTTACTTTCTCTTTTCTCTTACCCTCAGTTTTTGACATTTTTTTTTTTTTTAAACTATGTACATCTGTAAACAATGACCAAGCATTTCAAATGTCCGGAACAATGGGCTTTTAGAAAAGTTTTGAAAATGCACATAAGAAAATTTAAAGCTAAGGAAGAAAGCAAATCAATTGCTGTCAATTGGTGTCCATGATAAATAAAAAAGAAAACTGTAGTTAAATGTGCCAAACTCTTAATTTTTAATAAAAATAAAAAAAAAGTATTATTTTTTCTCTTTGCATTTGTGTATTTTTATATGATTATGAAAACTTTTAAAACATCTTTAAGAAAATGTCATTAAGTTCTGGTAAGGTAACAACGTTTTGCTTACACAATGAAACCATGTATACATCTTAATCTTTATTTTCTAAAATAAAAAAAATCATGGTAAAATTAATAATTATAATTATTTACTAATAAAGAAATAGATATTAATAGTATTCTTGTTATTACTATTTTAACAACATGTGTACATTAATAGTTGGTTTCTAAAATAAATAAATAAAGGTTTAAATAATAATCATGGTAAAAAGGTTTAAATAATAATCAAGGTAAAATTATTATTTTAAAAAATATGAGTTATTAAGTTTGGGGAGTTGCATTACATAATATGGTGGATAGGTATTCAGGTCATTCTATGTATGAATTGCATTTTAACATTGGTATAACACTTTATTTTGATAGTCCACTTTAGACATTCTACTATCAGTAGGTAACTTTACAACTACATGTCAACTAGCAGTCATTAGAGTATTAGACTGTCTGCTTAATGTCTTCTAACACTTTATTTTGATGGGCCCACAACATACAACATACTGACTATAAGAAACTTTGCAAGTATATGTCAACTTATTCTACTAACCCTAAACCTAACAGTCTAAGTTAGTAGACATGTAGTTGCAAATTAATGAGAGTTAGTTGACATGTAGTTGCAAGGTTACTCATAGTTAGTAGAATATCTAAAGTGGACTATCAAAATAAAGTGTAACCTTAACATTTTTTTATTAGTTAAATAGGACAAAAAAACTTTAACCCTTTGTGTTTCACAAAATAAAAAAATGAAAAAAATAAAATGGGTTTGGAACAACCTGGAGGATGGATACGTGACAGGATTTACAATTTCGTGTGAACTAATCCTTTAATAATTTGTTCTTATCGGAGTTTCCCACTGCAACTGATATCACTGATAGCTCACACATGTTGTTTGCTTAAGTGAGAAGGTGTGTGGTGCCATGCTGAGAAGCCTGACATGCATAGGAAAACAGCTTTAAATGAACTGTGGCCGTATGTCAATTTCCTTCTCTCTCCAAAACACAAATACGGGAACACAAACAAGATCTCGCCGACTGGCTTTTGTTACGAGTCCCGTTGTCAAGACTGACTCAGGATGGGAGAGACTACTGTGTTTATCTTTAATCCCGGGGCTTTGAATAAGTTCACCGGTGGCACCGTATCCCAGTCAAGCATAAGGCGTGGGAGATCGGCCCCCTGACTGAGGACAAGCTGAAACTGTTAAAAAAGAAAAACCCTTCACAGTGTGGCACGGTACTGGATCACGAGGACCAGATGGATGTCAAGGGAACATCTGTTGTATTTCCACAAGGGCAAACCCCTTCAACAGGTTGGGAAAGCTTGAGATTACTAGGCTGTTTGGACGGAGGGAGAGCAAAACATTCGCCGTTTGAGAAAACACCAACGAACAGGCTTTGTTTTCCTTGTAAACAAAAAGGTTCCCCGACGAGTCATGCATTACCATTTCAGTCTGTGAGGACTTAAATGATGAGGTGAGCTTTGGCCTTTGAGCAAACACAACTGGGAAAAGACTTTCAAGAGGAAAATCAAGCAAAAGCGTTTCCCCTCCTTCTCAAAAGTCATTCTAACAAAGATCACCACGCTCCGTTCCAAGTCTTTGTCAGTTGCTGGTGAATTCCTGCTAAGGAACTAAAAATAATCTCTGTCTAGACACAGCAAGTGTGAAACTGAGCCAAGCGAGAAAACGATATGCAAATGGAGCTAAGACTGGTATTATAAAAGACATCCCATGTGGGAGGGTTTTAAGAGCTCTCGGTGGTGTAAAAAGCAAGACTGAAGCCAAAAACAAAACAAAAAAGCTGGGATGTTTTTGTCTCGGTACCTGCAAGGTGTCCTGGCGTGTATCTAATTACATTGCTGACATTCAGATGATGTTGCACCAAGCGGAGGAATGGGGCATTTAATAAGTTCCTGGCCTTAGGGCCTGTGCAATCGGTCTGTGGGCCTCTTCGGAGGACAGACGGGCCATTTCTAACAGGCCGAACTGGTTTTTTGCAGCGTTTCTGCTTTGAGGGTGGGCTCCATTAGCGTGACCAAAGGGAAGCAGAGCGCCCGAGAAAGACAGGGCAAAGGGCTTTCTCTGAGAGCGGCTAGACAAGAGCAGCAGACTAGAGAGGAGCGTCAGCCGCAGACAGAAGAAGAGCAGATCAAAGAATCGCAGGGGCAACCTGCGTGACAGACATTGTATTAAAGCAACGTGGGTAGTTTGAAAAGAAGGGAAGAAAAAAATAAACCTGGTTGGATCAGGAGCCCTGTCTGAGAAACGTTAACTTCCCTTTTTTATCTACATCAGACCGCGAGCGCATAAAATTTGGGTTCGAGGCAGAGATTAGATGGGGAAGCAATGATATGATGGACACTTTGATTATTTTACTGGGTTGCTTTGATTTTGCCGGACGAAGGTGGAACTATTGAGAAACTATTGGCATGAAAACAGCAGCATATCAGATGTATTTTACACTTACGTGCCGTTGTCTGAAATGAATAATTTTAAATCATTTCATATTTACAATAAGATTCAATTGTGAGGTGGTGGTACTTTACAAATGGATGTAATAGCTATGATCAACACTTTTAATACATTTATTTATAAATACATTTATTTATAAGGTCACACTTTATTTTAAGGTCCAATTCTCGCTATTAACAAACCATTAACTACGACATTTGCCTCGATAAACTCCTAATTTGCTTATTAATACTTAGTAAGGTAGTTGTTAAGTTTAGGATTAAGGATGTAGAATATGTACTAATAAACAGCCAATATGCTAATAATAGGCATGCTAATAAGCAACTAGTTAATAGTGAGAATTGGTCCCTATTCAAAAGTGTTACCATTAATAAATTATTATATAATATTAGTTTATAATAATATAATACAGTGAAGGTTAATATTTGCAATGTTTAATTTCCACATATACAAATACATTTTTAACATTGAACAATTCACAAGTTTTAACAATTAACAAGTTACTTTATTACAAACATTTCAAATATTGTCTGTATAAATTAACATTCACCTAAATTAATAAATGCTGTAAAAACTATCCAATATGTAGTTCGTGATACCTAATGCATTGGCTAATGTTAGTGAATTAAACCTTATAGTATAGGCATCTGCTAAATGCTTAAAATGTAACTGCAGTAAAGCGCTACCCTGAGGACTTACAAAGGATCACATGAAACATCTAACTGGTACATGGCCTCAAATTAAATTAAATGCAGTACAAATATGTGTTTTTTTGTTGTGGCAAAAAATAAGACATCGAGTGACAATTGGCGGGCACAACATGTACAACCTAGTTAACACTATAAATACAGAAACACAGCATGTGTGAGTCCTAAACTACTCCCGTTAGACAAAATAACACATCAGAGAGGTGCGCAGTCAGAAATCTAAATTTGTGGAGAGGAATTTGGATAATACCAGCAGGAAGCAGCGGGTGAGGCCGCAGAGCGTGGCTGGGCGAGGAGTGAGGTGGCAGACGGGGAGGAGTCTCCACAGACAGTTGGAGGGCTTAAGCCTGGCGGACAGGGACTTGTCAAATGCAGCTGTTGCCGACACTGATTGATAGAGTTTGTATTCCAGCTCAAACCTGAAAACAGCTTGGCCAGTGCCAAGTAAATGGGGTGTGTGGTCTTTTCAAACAACAAAATTAACAACATCATCTGGAGATAGAAATCTGACAAAAAGAAACGCAAGTACCCATAACCAGTATTAAGAAACTCAGCACATAGTCTAGAAAAACATTGTAACATTCTCCTAAAAGGAAGAAAGAATAATGAGTGCAATGAACACTAGATTTGCTGAATTAAAAAAAAAATATATATAATATAATAATATAATATAATCATCATTGATAAAATGCTTATTTAGATTCTGAGCCATTATAAGAAATATGGATTAGTTCATACATATATTGTATGTATATATGCATGTACAATATATTATTTACATAAATTCCACACTCACACCACATGACAACCAACTAATAAACGACAAATAGGTTATCAAATAGCAAATTACATTTACAAATAATGGTAAAAACCTGATCTCTTTAAAGGACTTTGGTTCACCTGCTACTAAATCAGCATATGTGTGGCCCTTGACCTGAGGGTAACAAATATGTCAGTCAGCTCATCAAAACATGTGGCAATTTGCATCTATGTCTCCAGTGGGTTATAAAACAACGACAAAGAAGTCAAAAAAAAAAAGCCTTCTAGCAAACAACACTTCAAACCCACTTTCCACTTTGAAGTTTGATTGAATCATATCCTGCTAGGTAGCATCTCCTTCTCTTCCAAAAGGCGGATGAGTTGACTGAAACTTTCCTTCACGGCCTCCATGTTGTTCGTTGTGCTGCCTGCAAGAATCCAGCGCTTCCCTCGGGCCAGCGGCTGCAATTCAAAGTACTTCTGAATCTGAAAAAGAAAAGAAAAAAGAAAGAAATATTTATTCAATCATGACTCTCTCTATTCAATATTTATTTATTTATTAAATATTTATTCAATTATGAGGCTCTATAAAAATAGCACAGAGAATTTTGGTTTGTCTCTCAAAAAAAAGAATGTATTAAATTATTTTGTAGATGTCGGGTTTAATTTGGTGAGGATTCAAGAGGCCTTGGGAAAAGGTATTTATAAAGAAAAAACAGACAATGTAATAACTGAAATTCTGTTCAATCAAATAACTGAAACTGTAAGATTTATTTGACTTTTTATGTTTGGGATTCAAATTAATCATTTAGTTTGCCTTCAAATTCCTTAAGATCCTCTAACCTAATTGCAGCTATAGTATTAATGATATAATGATATAATATTTTATTATGCCACCCTTAACATAAGCAATGAAAACATTTTTAAGAAGGAAGGTTGAAATGTGTTGTCAAGTTCAAATGATGTTTAAACTTACTTATTAATTAGGAAAACCCATGTCAACCTGTGTATGTTTCAAGCTATTAAAATAGTGTTTCTGAGACCTCAAACAGAACATGAGGGATATTTTACCATAACAATAAGACTTTCTCTTTTCTCTAAACAAATCCTCTAAAAAAAAATCCATAAACAGTTTTTATACATTTCCAAAAGGTAAAAAGCTTAGTATCTGCTTATTAGGTCAAAATGTTCCTCACAGAACAGCAGAGATGCGTTAATGTCAAGGCACTGTAACGTGAGGTTCATGTGCAGCAGGGAAACTATGCAGATTTAGTTAACAAGTGCTTGACGTACTCAAAATTGTTAGTAACAACTGATTAAGAGGATCATATGTCAAAGCTTTGTGCTCTGTGCTTGATTATACTTTTATGTCAGCACTTCATTATAGCACGAGCAGATCAGAACCATCTGTTAAATTTGACCTATTCAAGGAATATCATACTGCTTCTGCTCAAAAGACACAACATGATTAACTCTGTAAGCCATAGCAGGGAATAGTGTCAGTTTTGCAGGAGTCATTTGTAATAATAAAAATCACATTTATAGAAGGAAAACGTTTGACGTCCCTTATAACCGATCTTGTATCACACTACAATCCGTCAAACTTTTTAAGGTCACAAAAGTTTGGACTATTGACAGTACATAGCATATCAAAGCCCACAAAAGGAGATACAGCTTTTTCACATTTGGCTCCAAAACTCTGGAATGGCTATCCTGATAATGCTCAGGGCTCAGACACACTTTATCAGGTTAAATCTAGATTAAAGACATCTCTTCAGCCGAACTGTCACATACTGCATCTCATAGCCTAGCATGTCAGCTTTCTATCGCAGGATGTCCATCCTAAAGTTACTAGAGACTTTACAAGCACCAGTCTGGACCCAGAGTTGACTGCAGATGATGCCAACAACGAATGGACTTTCAAGATCCTTATATCACAATCATTATCATAATCATAAGCTGTATTTTCTGCCTTGCTGCATTGCCAGACCCTGGGAAAATATTGAGAACCACAATAGTATAATGTTTAGTTAACATCCTTCACATTGCACACAGTCATTTCCACACTCACCACCATTTTATCAAGCTATTCAACATATAAATCACCTATGAGGAAAAACAAAATCAATAATATATTCAAATTTAAATACATCACCAGCTTTTTGCTTAGTTTGGAGTGACAAATCATATCAGCATACTTTCAAAATAATAGGTAAAAATAGAAAGATTAAATAGATCAAACGTGACAGTGAATACATTTATAGTAGTGCTGTCAAACAAGTAATCACATCCAAAATAAAAGTTTTTGTTTACATAATATATGTATGTGTACTGTGTATATTTATTAGGTATATATAAATACACACATAGAGTAGCCTATATATTTTTTTAAATATTTACATCTATATACATTTATATTCTTATATTTTATATTATACATAATATATTTAATATATAAACATAACATTTTTTAAAAATATATACATGCATGTGTTTGTATTTATATATACATAATAAATATACACAGTACACACACATATATTATATAAACAAAAACTTTCATTGATCGTGATTAATCGTTTGACAGCACTAATTTAGTGTTACAAATTTCTACTTCAAACATATTATGTTCTTTTACACTTTCTATTCATCAAAGAATCCTAAAAAGAAATGCATCATGGCTTTCACAAAATCTTCGCCATCATAGAATAACTTACATTTTAAAACATATTTAAAGGATTAGTTCACTTCTGAATTAAAATTTCCTCATAATTTCCTCAACCCCATGTCATCCAAGATGTTCATGTCTTTCTTTCTTCAGTCGAAAAAAAATTAAGGTTTTTGAGGAAAACATTCCAGGGTTTTTCTCTATATAGTGGACTTCAGTGGGGTTCACTGGGTGGAAGGTCCAAATCGCAGCTTCAGTGCAGCTTCAAAGCGTTCTACACGATCCCAGACGAGAAATAAGGGTCTTATCTAGCGAAACGATCGGTCATTTTCTAAAAAAGAATAATTATATACTTTTTAAAGGGGTCATATGATGCGATTTCAATTTTTCCTTTCTCTTTGGAGTGTTACAAGCTCTTAGTGCATAAAGAAGATCTGTAAAGTTGCAAAGACTAAAGTCTCAAATCCAAAGAGATATTCTTTATAAAAGTTAAGAGTCAACCACGCCTACCTAAAACGGCTCGTTCTAACACATCTACATTGTCATCTGAGGAGATTACAAAGATTAAAAGAGTGTTTTTTTAAAGGGGTCATATGATGCGATTTTATTTTTTCCTTTCTCTTTGGAGTGTTACAAGCTCTTGGTGCATAAAGAAGATCTTTAAAGTTGCAAAGACTAAAGTCTCAAATCCAAAGATATATTCTTTATAAAAGTTAAGAGTCAGCCACGCCTAAAACGGCTCGTTCTAACACGCCCCCACATGTCTACGTCATGATGTGGGAGGATTTGCATAACGCCGCCCAAATGTTCACGCAAAGAAAGAAGGCGTAACTTTTATTCTCGCTGTAGTATTGTTGTTGCCGCCGCTGCCATGTCGTGAAGGCGCTGTGTGTTTCGTTGTGAAAGCGAAACTACTTTGTTTGGCCTTCCAAAAGAGGACGATATCCGCTTCGTCATGCCTAGAGCTGATGCGTGCTGGTCGCTGAGGAAATACATCAACTTCGCGCTGTGGATCGCCGGATCGGCTTTCACCGTGGACGAAGCGAAGTCCAGCCCGGGGTCGTCACATGTGGTTGCCGCAAGCCCGCCCGCCGCCGCCGCTCACTCTAGGCCTCCGGCCTTTGCTCACTCTAGCCCGCCGTGTGTGACGCTGCGTTTCATTGTGAAAGCAAAACTACTTTGTTTGGCCTTCCAAGAGAGGACACGACTAGAAATCAGTGGTTAAGTTGTATTTACAACACTGTTCCAGAACACTTCAACCCAAATATTCAGATGTGTCCAGCGCATTTTATGGAATTTTTATGGACTGTTTCCTGATCCTGGTAGAGTAGACTACAATGCCGGCTGTTCTGACTCACAGACTGTAAGTACGTTTTTATATATAAAGAGTTTGCCACTGACGATTCAAACGCGAATTTTGAGCAGTGTAGAGTAGCGTTTGTAGTTTGTCATTTCTCCGATCACAAATGCAGACATGGTTTTATGTTTACGCGGCGCGATGCAATGCAATGCGTAAAAAGTCAGTATAAGTCATTATAATCCGTAATTATGTCCCCACTGGATGCAAAAAAAATGCCTTGTTTATAATGGGTTTTAATGTTTTTGTCTCGTTTCAGAAAAGCGGGGCATAGAGGAGAAACAATAATGTACAGTATGTGGAAAATAATGTGTTTTTTTAACCTTAAACCGCATAAACACATTTCATTACACCAAATACACCAAATAATGTTCTTTTTAGCAACATCACATTACCCCTTTAATAGCATAAACAATGGCTGCGTTTACACTTGGCATTAACATGCGATGTAATTTTTTTTTAGAAAATGACAGATCGTTTCGCTAGATAAGACCCTTCTTCCTCGTCTGGGATCGTGTAGAACACTTTGAAGCTGCACTGAAGCTGCAATTTGGACCTTCCACCCAGTGAACCCCACTGAAGTCCACTATACAGAGAAAAACCCTGGAATGTTTTTCTCAAAAACCTTAATTTCTTTTCGACTGAAGAAAGAAAGACATGAACATCTTGACAGACATGGGGGTGAGAAAATTATGAGGAAATTTTAATTCAGAAGTGAACTAATCCTTTAAATGTTACATACTGGTAAAAAATGTATAGCCTGAATGCACTGTAAGTCGCTTTGGATAAAAGCGTCTGCTAAATGCATGAATTATTAAATTATTATTATTAAATTAATTAATTATTAAATGTTACAGTTATTTTAAATTGCAATAATATTTAATATTATTATTATTTTTCCTGTTTTTGTTTCAATAATTGTAGCCTTGGTGAGCATAAGAGACTTCTTTCAAAAGCATTTTTTTTTTTTTAAATCCTACCGACTCTAAACTTCTGAATGGAACTGTATATTTAAGTTCCTTTTTTTCTGAATGACCATAATTGATATGAGATAATGGGATATGAGACATAGTGAAACCATGATATCCATAGACATTTAGTGTAGATAACAGACAGATAGTCATCTATTACCTTCCTCAAAACAAAAGAGATGCAGCATCAGATGTCCATAACCAAATGAGATAACCTGCAAAGTGTTGGTAGATAAAAGCACAAGGAAATAGTGTTCAAGGGGCAGATAAAGTTAGACCAGAGGATATGCTGCTACAACAAACAAATGCAACTATATCTATCGTTTCGCAATCTGCAAGCATGATGGACACTCGCTGCTAATCTGATGATAACAGACAGAAAGACCTGAAAAATCTAATCAAACTGTTCTGTGTGCTGAGTCTTTTGTCCAAAGTACTGTAACTGAATCCACCTCAAAAAGAATCACATACGAAGCACTTGTTTTAGCAG